GCCCCGCTCCTATTGTTTTTTTAAAAATTGTCACTTTTGGGGCGCCTGGGTGGCTCAGTCGGTTGAGCGTCCGACTTCGCTCAGGTCACGATCTCACGGTCCGTGAGTTCGAGCCCCGCATCAGGCTCTGTGCTGACCGCTCAGAGCCTGGAGCCTGCTTCAGATTCTGTGTCTCCCTCTCTCTCTGGCCCTCCCCCCGTTCATGCTCTGTCTCTCTCTGTCTCAAAAATAAATAAATGTTAAAAATTGTCACTTGAGTAGCACTGCCTTTCTTTGCCACTTCCTTTGAAGTACTAATTGCCTAAGATTTATTTTTAAAATGCTTTTAGGGGCACCGGCGTGGCTCTGTCAGTTAAGCATCTGGCTCTTGATTTTGGCTCAAGTCATGATCTCATTGTTCTTGGGACTGATCCTCAATCCCCTAATACCTGAGCTGGTGGCCCTGCGCTGACAGCAAGGAGCCTGCTGGGGATATTCTCTCTCCCTCTCCCCCTGTCTCTGCCCCTCCCCTGCTTGTGCTTTTTCTCTCCCTTTCAAAAGAAATAAATTTAAAAAATAAAATGAAATATTTTTAAAACCTATACCTATTTTAGCCCTATCCTAAGAAGTTGTTGTAGAGAATACCTAACCAGTAAGTTAAATGTTCACAAGTACCCCCTAAAGCCATCATGCAGAGCCCAGCAGTTTTCGGTTGACCCTGCCCTAGTGGCAGGAAACAAGCTGTGCCCCAAAAGAGCCCATCTCCCCTCTCCCAACCCCCAACAGAGCCCAAATCGTCTGAGCTTGCTGGCAGCCTGCCCTCAGGGATGGCCAGTTCTTTCCCCTCCCACCTGGAAACACCCTCATTTGGCCCACACGCGTGTTTAAGAGCAGGGCCTCTGAGGTCTCATGCCTCAGTTGGCCCCCTCTACCCGCACCCCACCCCATGGCTATCAGACTTAGTGGAAAGGGTCCTGTTCCCCGGGTCTTCTCAGTGTCCCCCACCTCTCAGCTGACAGGCTCTGCCTTCTGGTGGGAACTGCATCTACCCCCCTTCCAGTCCTCCCTGGGGGCAATCCTGGGCCAGCAATTCCCACCACAGCCAGCCTTGACACATCCCTGCCACTGGTTCTGGGGAGGCCTGGACAACGGGAAGTCCTCACTCCTCTTAGCCACCTGTGTGGCTGTTACCTCTGGGCGAGCCTGTCTGCCTCTCGCTCCTACAGGAAGGCCTTTCTCTGGTCTAACCTCTACTGCCCCACCCGGCTTCCATTAGGCTTCCTGAACTCTTCCTTCTTCCTCTATCCTCTTCTCCATCTTGTGTTTCCTTCTCACTCTTTCCCTTCCCCTTTCTCCTTCTTCCTTCTTTCCTTCTCCTTTCCTTCCTCCTCCTCCTCCTGGCATCCCACTGCTCAAAGTGGCTCCACCCCTGTCCTTGCAGGTTCCCCTTTGATCAAGATGAGGAGCCATTCAGAGTAGCTGCTGCCTCTGGGAGGATCCCTGGTGTCCTGGGCAGCCCAGTAGGTGAGTCTGGAGGTGGGAAGTGGGGAGCTGGGCTGGGTGTGGCCGGCTAAGCCCCAACTTTGAGGTGGGGGAGGCTTCATGGAGGCCAGACCTGAGGTCCCAGTTTTCATTTTGCGAGTAGGTGGAGGAGCAGAAAGAGGGTGAGGCTAAAGAGCTTCCCAGGAGGGCTTTGAAGGGGTGGGATAGGACAGGGACCAGTGGGTTGGGTGGGGGATGTGTATCACATTGTCTTTTAAATTGTATTTAGTTTTTAGAAAGCAGTACAAAAGTTTAAGATACAGAACAATATAGTGAAAGGTAACCTTCCCTCTCTTACCCTCCCAGCTGCCAATTCTCCTCCCCAAAGGCAGGTTGTTTCTTGTATACCCATCCAGAGGTATTCTGTGTGTGTGTGTGTGTGTGTGTGTGTGTGTGTGCGCACGTGCGCGCGCATATATGTATACGTATATACATACGTACATATTTGTACATTTTTTTATTTAACCCAGATGTTTACATAATAAAACACTGTTCTGCATCTAATTTTTCCACCTGACAACAAATCCTTAATATCATTTTATATGAACTTTAGAATTTGCCTATTGGTAATTTGGTGGGGGGGTGGGGATTGTGTTTTGTACTGGCTATAGCTTAACCCAGGAAGAACCAATGTCTTCATAATGTCTTCATAATGTTGAGAGCTGGTTTATCCAAGAACATCAAATGTATTTGTTTGTTTATGTCTTCCTTTGGGTCCCTCAGCAGCCTTTTTAAAGAACTCACATAGTTCAAGGGCACCTGGGTGACTCAGTCAGTTAAGCGTTCGACTCTTGGTTTTGGCTCAGGTTGTGATCTCACAGTTCGTGAGTTCAAGCCCCACATTGGGCTCTGTGCTAACAGTGTGGGATTCTCTCTCTGCCTCTTTCTCTCTGCCCCTCCCCTGCTCGCTCGCTCTCTCTCTCTCTCTCTCTCTCTCAAAATAAATAAACTTAAAAAAAAAAAAAACTCACATAGTTCAAAACATAGGTAATAGATAAAGATGTAGAATGAAAATACTTCCTCCCACCAGGGTTGGGTTCCCAGGGAAACTGATGGAGCCTGAGCTTCAGGCTCCTTCTGAGGCCCAGGAGGGGCCCAGGCAGTGTGTGCATGTGATCATGTGGTTTGGGAAATTTTTACAAAAGTAAGATATTCCAATTAAATTTTTTAAAAAACTGAGATATGATTTACGTACAACATTGTTTAGTTTTCAGATGTACAACATAATGATTTGATATTTGTGTATATTGTAAAATGATAAGTAAGATATTCTGATACTCTTTTTTTTAAGTTTATTTATTTTGAGAGAGAGAAAGAGAGCACACGATCAGGGGAGCAGCAGAGGGAAAGGGAGTGAGAGAATCCCAAGCAGCTTCTTTGCTATCAGCATAGAGCCTGACAACGCAGGGCTTGATCTTACAAATTGTGCGATCGTGACCCGAGCCTAAACCAAGAGTCGGAGCCTTAACTGACTGAGCCACCTGGGTGCCCCTGATATTCTTTTTCTTTTAAAAATAAATTTTTTTAATGTTTATTTATTTTTGCGAGGTGGGGGCGGGGCAGAGAGAGGGAGACACAGAATCTGAAGCAGGCTCCAGGCTCCAGACTCCGAGATGTCAGCACAGAGCCCGATGTGAGGCTCGAACTCATGAACTGTGAGATTATGACCTGAGCTGAAGTCGAAGACTTAACTGACTAAGCCACCCAGGCTCCCACCTGATACTCTTTCTTATTTTTTAAATTAATTAATTAGTTAATTTTTAAATTTACATTCAGGTTAGTTGCATATATTGCCAACAATGATTTCAGGAGTAGATTCCTTAATGCCACTTACCCATTTAGCCCATCCCCCCCACCCACAACACCCCCAGCAACCCTCTGTTTGTTCTCCATATTTAAGAGTCTCTTATGTTTTGTCCCCCTCCCTGTTTTTTATTAGTTTTGCTCCCCTTCTCTTATGTTCATCTGTTTTGTATCTTAAATTCCTCATATGAATGAAGTCAGATGATATTTGTCTTTCTCTAATTTCGCTTAGCATAATACCCTCTAGTTCCATCCACGTAGTTGCAAATGGCAAGATTTCATACGTTTGATAGCCAAGTAATACTCCATTATATATATATATATATATATATATATATATATATATATATATATATACCACATCTTTATCCATTCATCCATCGATGGACATTTGGGCTCTTTCCATACTTTGGCTATTGTTGATAGTGCTGCTATAAACATTGGGGTGCATGTGCCCCTTTGAAACAGCACACCTGTATCCCTTGGATAAATACCTAGTAGTGCAATTGCTGGGTCATAGGGTAGTTCTATTTTCAGTTTTCTGAGGAATCTCCATCCTGTTTTCCAGAGTGGCTGCACCAGTTTGCATTCCCACCAGCAGTGCAAAAGAGATCCTTTGTCTCTGCATCCTCAACAACATCTGTTGTTGCCTGAGTTGCTCATGTTAGCCATTCTGACAGGTGTGAGGTGGTATCTTATGGTGATTTTGATTTGTATTTCCCTGATGATGAGTGATGTTGAGCATTTTTTATGTGTCGGTTGGCCATCTGGATGTCTTCTTTGGAGAAGTGTCTATTCATGCCTTTTGCCTATTTCTTCACTGGATTGTTTTTTGGGTGTTGAGTTTGATAAGTTCTTTATAGATTTTGGATACTAACCCTTTATCTGATGTTACTTGCAAATATCTTCTCCCATTCCATTGGTTGCCTTTTAGTTTTGCTGATTGTTTCCCTCAGATATTTTCTTTTTTTTTTTAAACATTTCTTTTTTTTTTTTAATTTTTTTAACGTTTATTATTTTTGAGACAGAGAGAGACAGAGCATGAACGGGGGAGGGTCAGAGAGAGGGAGACACAGAATCTGAAACAGGCTCCAGGCTCTGAGCTGTCAGCACAGAGCCCGATGTGGGGCTCGAACTCACGGACCGTGAGATCATGACCTGAGCCGAAGTTGGCCGCTTAACCGACTGAGCCACCCAGGCGCCCCTCAGATATTTTCTTAAAGATGGAATTGAACATGTGACAGCATCCGACCCCTTGAAGTCTGGCTCTGTGTCTGCTCCCTTCCATCCCCTCAGCCCTCAGTTTTCCTCCTTAGAGGCAACGTCACCTTGTCTCTGATGTATCTTTTCAGAAATAGTTTATGCATTTACCAACACCATGTATTAATCTATCCTCTCTGGTTTGTTTTTTTCTACATAAAGGCAGAATGTTCTATATACTATTCTGCACCTTTTTTTTTTTTTAATGTTTATTTATTTTTGAGAGAGAGACCAGAGTGTGAGTGGGGGAGGAGCAGAGAGAGAGGGAGACACAGAATCTGAAGCAGGCTCCAGGCTCTGAGCTCTCAGTACAGAGCCTGATGCAGGGCTCAAACTCATGAACCGCAAGATCATGACCTGAACTGAAGTCGGACACTTACCGACTGAGCCACCCAGATGCCCCCTCCTTTTAAAAAAAATTTTTTTTTAATGTTTATTTATTTTTGAGAGGGTTCTGCACCTTTCTTTAGTCACTTAACAACATACCTGGGAGGTCATCCCATATCAACATGTATGTACTGAGTTTCCTCATTTTGTTAATTGAGGTTGCTCAGTGTTCTGCTATATGACCATCCTATAATTTAGTTAGCCATTCCCTGATTAATGGGTATTTTGGTTATTTCCAACCTTTTGTTATTATACACGTCACTGTTGCCAGTCACCTAGGAAGACTACAGGATAAGTGTCTGGGGTGGCTGGAACAAAGAACAGAAGGACTTGGGGTTTTCATAGCTATTGTGGCATTAATTGCCCTTCTCAGAGGCACTCCCACCAGCCAGGCAGAATGCCTCACCCTGTCACCACGTCGTGTGGGGAGGTTAAGTTCCTTTTCATATGTTTAGGAACCACTTATATTTTCCTTTCTGTGAATTTCTCTCTTCCTATTTTTTGCCCTTTTTTCTGTTAGGTCATTGGCCAGCTTTTAAAAAATGTTTATCTACTTATTTTTGAGAGAGAGGAGAGGCAGAGAGAGAGAGAATCCCAGTCAGGCTCCATACTGTCAGCACAGAGCCCGACTTGAGGCTAGAACTCATGAACCATGAGACCATGACCTAAGCTGAAAATCAAGTTGGACCTGTTTCTTATTTCTAGGTGCTTTTCAGTTTTTAGGAAAATTAGTCCTGTGTTTGGGATATGAGAGGCAGATGTACCCTGAGTTGTCATTTATCTTTTGGCTTTGTTTCTAGTGCATTAAAAAAAAAACTTTTTTAAATGTTTATTTAGTTTTGAGAGAGAGAGTGAGCAAGAGAGAGAGAGAGATCAAGCACGAGCAGCGGAGAGGCAGAGAGAGAGGGAGACAGAGAATCGAAGTGGGCTCCATACTCTGAGCTGTCAGCACAGAGCCCAATGCAGGGCTTGAACTTCTGAACCCCAAGATCATGATCTGAGCTGAAGTCAGACACTTAACTGATTGAGCCACCCCAGTGGCCCTGTTTCTGGTGAGTTTTAATTTGTGGGAATGTTTGATTTTTATATACTTCAGTATTTTACTCTTTTATCTTTCCGGGTTTGTATCCTTTCTAAAAGGCTTTTGCGTCTCTGAGATGATATTTTAAATCCTTTCATAGTTTTATTTTTTATAACGAAATATTTGATCTAAATTTATCCTGTTGTAAGGTGTGAGATAGGGGTCTTTGTTTCTAGATTGTTCCACAACTGTCCCAACAACTTAATAATCCATCTTTTCAGTACTAATTTGAGATGTTACTTTTATTGTACACTAAGTTATTATATGCATTTGGGTCTATTTTTAAGCTTTCTCTTCTCTCTCTCTCTCTCTCTTTATTTATTTATTTAGAGAAAGAGCTTGTGCAGGAGAAGGGCAGAGAGAGAGAGGGAGAGAGAGAATCCCAAGCAGGCTCTGCACTGTCAGCACAGAGCCAGACATGGGGCTCAATCCCATGAACCATGAGATCATGACCTGAGCCAAAATCAAGAGTCAGACGCTTAACCAACTGAGCCACCCAAGCACCTCTGAACTTTTTGTTCTGTTTAATTCATCTGTATGTTCACATGCTGGTAACATGTACTGTTTTAATTACTATGTCTTTATATGTTTTAATATGTGGTGAAGCTGGTTCTCACTCTCTACCCTTTTTTACCCTCCACCCCCTGCCTCCGGAAATTTCCTGGCTCTTCCTGCTTGTTTGCTTTTCCACATGAATTTTCAAATCCACTTGTCTGGCTCCCCTTCCCCCCCCCCCCCCCCCCCACTACATAGGTTGTGTGTATATTTAATAGGATTGTGCATATTTATAAATTAACTGAGAGAGAATTAATATCTTTATGATGCCTTCTGCTTGGCAGCACACTGTGTCTTTCCATTTGTCCAGGTCTCTTCTTTTTGACTCTTTCTACAGATCCCACACATTTCTTATTATGTTTCTTCCTGTGACTTAAGTTCTGTGATGCTATCGTAAATGAGGCTTTTCATCCTGGTTTCTAGCTGGTTATGGCCTATAAATATTAATTCTGTTATATTAGTTTTGAATCCAGCTCACTTACTAATTCTTTTATTGCTTGTAATAGTTTCTTAGTTAACCTTCATGGGTTTTCCAATTAAAAATTTCTATAATTGGTAATCAATAGATAGTCTCTTCCTGCCCAATTTTTATACTTCTTGTTTATTTTTGTTGCCTAGAACTTTCAAAACAATGTGAATAATAACAATGATGATGATGATGATGAATAATCATTGAGCACCTGGGTGGCTCAGTCAGTTGAGCATCTGACTCTTGATTTTGGCTCAGGTCATGATCCCAGGGTCATGATCTCATGGGTCAGGGAGCCCCACATCGGGCTCCACATTGAGCGTGGAGCCTGCCTGAGATTCTCTTTCGCCCTCTACCCCTCTCCCTGGCTCATGTGCTGTCTTTCTCTAAAATAAAATAAAAAAAAAATTAAAAAATAGGGGTGCCTGGGTGGCTTAGTGGTTAAGCGTCTGACTTCAGCTTAGGTCATGATCTCGCAGTCTGTGAGTTCAAGCCCCTCATCGGGCTCTGTGCTGACAGCTCAGAGCCTGGAGCCTGCTTTGGATTCTGTGTCTCCCTCTCCCTCTCTGTCCCTCCCCCTGCTCAAAAGTAAATAAACATTAAAAAAATTTTTTAAATAAAAAAATAAATCCTTCTCCTCCTTATCCTCCTCGTCATCATGAAATGGATATCCTTGTTTCATTCCTGACTTTAATGGAAATTTTGCCATTGTTTTCCCATTAAGCAAGGGGCTGATTTTTTAGTTTAAGGGAGTTATCAGTCTGTTTCTGTTTTAGTAAGTACACTGGATGTTGGCTTTTATCATATGCTTCTTTAGTATCTGTGGAGATGATCTGATGACTTTTCTCTTTTGATTTGTCAGTCTTCTCTCTGTATCCTCTATCTCTTGACTCTTGCCAGGCCAGGAGCTCTTGAGTGCAGGGATGGGACCCGAGTCCCTATTGCCTTGTGTGAGGCTATCTCAAATGAACAAATGAATGGATGGTTCTTTCCTATACGTTAACCCCCTTGGTAGTGGGAAGGGTAACACATTCACAGGGCCAGGACCCCAGCTATGTGGTGCTGGTGTGACTTACCCCCTGGAGCATTCTGCTTCTTCCAGGGACATGTAGGTGGGGTGAAGTTCAGTCCCTAGACTGGGCCTGCAGGGGGACCAGCGGTGGTATCACTCAATCCCACCCATACTTGCTAAGCCCCTGGGCCTGGCCTTCAGCTGGGGACTGGTACCTCAGAAGGAACTGGGCCCTTGCCTGGGTCCTGCAGAGGGCAGTGGCGGGTGTGTGTGCTAAACGCAGCCATTGGCTAGCCTTGCGGCAGTGGCCCAGGCTGTGGATGGGGCTCAGGGGTGATACCAACTCTGGTTCCTGGAGGGCTTCCTGGAAGAGATGTGAGCTGGCCACTAGGAGGCCACGGGGGTGCGGGTGGCAGGTTTCAGACAGAGAGAAAAGCCTATGTGTTCAGGGACCTGGCAGTATCTGGCCTTGCCTGGCACATGGGGCACAAGGGAGACAGCTCAAGGACAGTGCCCGACCCCATGGCGTGGGAGAGCCACAGAGGGTTGCTAATCGGGGAGCTTGTGGCTGGGCAGCCTTGTCTCTTACTTGTGCCCATCTGTCTCTTCCAGGTCCGGACAGGGCCCTGCTGGCTGGCCTCTGCTGGCAGGAACCATGGCAGAGGCTGGGGATGCAGCACTGTCCGTGGCTGAGTGGTTGCGGGCACTCCACCTGGAGCAGTACACTGGGCTCTTTGAGCAGCATGGACTGGTGTGGGCCACCGAGTGCCAAGGCCTCAGTGACGCCCGCCTGGTGGACATGGGCATGCTGCTCCCTGGTCACCGCCGCCGCATCCTGGCTGGCCTGCTCCGTGCCCACACGCCCCCAAGCCCTGCACCCCGCCCTACCCCCCGGCCCGTGCCCATGAAGCGTCATGTCTTCCGCTCACCGCCTGTGCCTGCCGCTCCACCGGAGCCACTGCCCACGGCCGGAGAGGATGAGGGGCTACCCACCGCCCCACCCATCCCACCCCGGAGGAGTTGCCTTCCGCCTACCTGCTTCTCCGCCCCATCCGCAGCAGCCCCAGACCCTGTGCTGCCCCCGCTGCCTGCCAAGCGGCATCTGGCAGAGTTCAACGTTCCGCCTGTGCCCCCCCGCACTGGGACCCCCCGCCAGCTGGTGAGGTGAGTAGATGCCATCCCTGGTGGGAGGAACATGGGTGGAGGATCCCAGAAAGTGGAGAGGGAGTTTGTGGCCTTTGGCAGTAGGGTAAGAAAGGCACCTCGGTGGAGGGAACAGCATGTATAAAGCTCAGAGGGGGGAAGCACTATCCTAGGACACTCTGAGCAGACTGGGACTAAACTGTTGGGTGAGTGTGGGTGAGGCTGTGGATGGCATTGGTGGGAGATTCTGTGAAGGCCGGTGGGAAGCCAGAAAGGTTTCAAGCGGAGTGATCGGATGAAAGCTGGATTGGATGGATGACTGGTGGAGGAGGAGGCTGGGTGACCATTGAGAGCGCTCAGGCCCCCAGGAGAGGCCCCCACTTGGGCTGTGCTAACAGGGTGGAGAGAGAAGTAGGCAGATGGAATGAGAAATTGGCCCTGGAATGGACGGGGCTTGGGAATGGCCTAGACATTAGCAGAGAGGGCATGGGGAGCCACATGGCATGCAGGTTTCCATCTTGGGTGGATAGTGGTGCCATCCCTGATCTGGGGATCCAGGGACAAAGTGTACCCAGGGAAGAAGTCTCGGGTTCAGTTTGGGGCTTGGGGAGTATGAGGCCCTGGGAGGTGGGAGTACCTTCCGAGTCAGGAGGTAGCATGTGGAGGACACAGTCTAGGATGATGAGCTGCTGTTGGGGGAGCAGAACTGACCAGGGCCTGGTGCTGTGCTCCTGTCTCCTGCTCCACACTGCTCCTGCCACATGCCCCCACATCCTGGGGATACTTCTCAGGCCACAACCTATTGGCCCTCCCTCCTCAGAATTTTTCCCCGTCTCCTGGCTCCTGGTACTTCTCATTTCCTTGAGTTGCCTCCCACTTCTATGGATGTTCCATTTTAACCTCCTTCACAGTTGCCCTCTCTGCCATTTGCTGGGGTACCCAGCTGGGAGGGAGCATCCCTAGCTAGTGCTGGATATATCTTTGGCGGGTGTAATGGAGATTACTGCAGTACTTGGGCCAAGTCAGCCTAATCTGGGAACACTTCTTGGAGGAGAAAGGGATGTGCAGAGAGAGGTCTCTTGGTCCCTATGTTGGGCACTGTGCTAGCTGCCTCATTTCCATGATCTTGTTGCTCAAACCTTCTGGTGGATTTTTGTCTTGTTTTCAAGCAGAGAAACTGAGGCTCAGAGAAGGGAGAGGAGCACTAGCTGGATCCATGCCAAGTGCATGCTCAGGGAGCCCCTGTGGGGAGTCTGGAAAGTTTTCACCACACAGAGAGGGAAATTAAGTAAGGGGGCCTTGAAGGCACAGCCATGGCCGTCATGTTTTGAGGTTTGATTGGTGGAAGCACAAAAAGGGTTTGTACCTTTCCTGAATTCACACAACTGGGGACCATACTCGGGTCCCCTAGGAGCCTGGCTCACTGTTTAGATTGGGGTTTCCTGGCACTATTGTGCCCTCTGGTGGCCATTCTCATGCATGCATGAGCCGTTTTTATTTCTTTTAATTCCATTAACAGGATGGGGAGTGGTGGGGGGGAGAGAGAATATGTGTGTGTGTCTGTCTATTTCTGTTTGTCCATCTGTCTCTGGGGGTGGGAGAAGGTGAACAAGGAAAGAAGACAGAGCCCTGTCCATTGGGAATTCTCAAGGTCTGAGGAGGCAAACCCCTCATTGAGGGAGTGGAGGCCTGGATTCCTGTTTCGGAGTCAGAATACCTAGGGGCAGGCCTAGCTAGCTGTGTGACTGATTAGCAGCTGCCCCTCTGGGCCTGTTTCTCCATCAGGTGCCCTCCTTGGCCTCCATAGCCCTCCTGGTACTAACATCTGCATTCAGGAGACTTGGCAGGATAGAGCAAGCATCCTGTCTATGCCCCAGGGTACCAGCCTCCACCCTCAGAGCCTTAGTCTGAACTTAGTCACTTAGCCAACCTATGGGGGAGGCCAGGCTGCCATGCTCAGGAATCTGGCCCCTTGTTTTTGTTTTTGTTTTTGTTTTTTTCTTTTAATGTTTATTTGGTTTTTTTTAGAGAGAGACAGAGTGTGAGCAGGGGAGGGGCAGAGAGAGAGGGAGACACAGGATCTGAAGCAGGCTCCAGGCTCTGAGCCATCAGTACAGGGGGCTCTTTCTTAAAGTAGAGTGTGATGGGAGGTGAGCTGCCAAGCCTGGCTTCCTTGTCCTGGGGTCTTTGACATTTGGAACAGTCAGTCAACATCTGCAGGTCCTAGCACTCTGACTTCCAGGGTGTACAAAATCTTTAAAGCCAAGTGGTAGAAAAACTCACTGCAGATGGAACTTCATGTATGTGTAACAGGTGAAGGCTGGGCAGGGAGGAGACCAGGATGCAGCCTGATTGGCTATCCCTCACAGCCCCTCCCTATGGACCCTGGGCTCCACGGTGCACACTGGAAGGCTCTTCAACCTGGCCTGTTCCTGCCCGCTTTGCTGGAGTCCCTTCTTCCTGATATGGCCTTTGGGTCCTTACTTACACCCTTTAGTAACGGGGTTCTCACTCTCTGAATCTTAAGACCTTTTACACCGATTCACGTGGTGACTGAGCGAGCATTTCTGCCTGGCTCCAGGCCATCACCCACCTCCCCGGTGGAATTTGGGAACTATCTGCTGTGTGTGCATGTGTGTCCTCTTGAGATAGTGACTCCACGCGAGGGCATGCCTAGCCGGTTGGTATGCGTGCACCGATAGGTGTGCATGTTTGTGCAAGCTGTCAAGGTAGTCACGTGTCTGTGTATTTATGTGTCTGCACACGTTTTAAGGGAGGCCACTTGTGATGCTAAGATGTACATGCGAGTGGGCATTTATATGATTTCCGTGGTTTCTTGCGGTGGGTGTGTGTGAGTTCATCCGGGCCCGTGTGCACACGTACCTGTGCCCGTGTGTGCTGGCACAGTGGGGACGCCAACAGCATGAGTCCATTTGTGAGTGCACGTGCTGTGTGTTCTTTGCGTAGCGCCAGGGGTGAGCCAATGTGTGTACACATGCTGCAAAGCCCACCAGGGTCAGCTCTGTTAGGGCCAAGATTCTTGTTGATTTTGTTTAGTGCTGAATCCCTAACACCTGGGACAGTGCCAGGTGCCTAATAGACACTCCAAAAGTATTTGTTGTGTGCGTGAATCGATGACGACTGTATGCGTTTCTGCACTGCCCAGTGCTGAGCACGTGTGCTACCCATGCTGACCCAGCACCCAAAGAGTGCCCTCAGCACACACCGGACAGTAGACCATAGGGTTAAAGGGCCTCGCGCTCACACCCCAAATCCCTTCCTACTATGCAACCTGTGTCATGCCCGGACATCTTAGAAAGGCAGAGGCCTTCGAGGAGGCAGGCAGAAAATGAGCCAACCCAACTGGGTCAGGATTCTCAGAACCAGGCTCACCGTTCTGCCTGGCCTGGGAGGACCCCACCTCACCCCTCACAGGGTCCGCACCCCCACCATTGTTTAAGCTTGTAATAGGGAACTTGCCGATGAGTCCGGAGATGATGAGAAACGCCCAGAGTCACATGGCCCAGCAGAGTGGAAGCCAATGGTCAGACCCTGCCTCCTGGGCCGGGGCCCAGTCTACTCAGCTTCAAGTATCATAGATGTGGACCCTCTGAGCCTGCTTCCGAGTGGCAGAGGGGTCATTTCTGGGCCAGGTGTTCCAGGGTCATTCCACAGAGCCCCTCTCAGATTGCTCTGGGCCTCAGTTTCCTCCTCCAATACCTAGATGTCTGGAGATACCTTCAAAGAGGAAGTATTTGTCCAGAGGGGGCAGCTGCCAGCTGGAATCACACAGCAAGGCCTCCCACCTGTGCCCTTAACTGCCCTGCAGCCCAGCCAATCCCTGGTCTTCCTGAAGGCTGATCACTTGTTGCTGGGGCAGAACTTGCTCCCTTCAAAGAGCCTCTTTCCCAGCCTCTCTGGGCCTCCTTGTGGGGGTGGGGAAGGAGCAGCCAAGTCCAGAGCTTCCTGAGTGTCTACTCTGTAAGGCCCTGCTTGCCAGCACTGGGGTGGTTTGTCCCATTCCAACTTGGGATGGGGGGGCAGGCTGGAGGCGGGGAGGAAGTGTCTGCCCCAGGGGATTCTGGGTGACTTTTCTCTTTCTCGGTGTTTTCAGGAAGTGTGTATTGGCCGGGGCTGCAGGGGGTGGGGAAGGAGGAGAGCAGGAAGCCACGGGAGACTAGAGCTAGATGTACACACACACACACACACACACACACACACACACACACACTCACTCCCAGACAGATCCAGTTTTACTCAGAAACACTCTCAGATAAGTGATCACAGCCACTCAGAGCCGTACCTGGACCCAGACACGGCCTCAGACACACCCAGGGAACAGGGGCCTGGCTGTCTGCTAGACCAGCCCTGGTCAGACGAGCTGCCTGGTCAGGCACACAGCACTCTCTCGAGCCGGAGCTGTGGGAGTCCTCTGGCCCAGGACCCAGTGGACATCTGAGGGTGAGAAAGGGGAAGCTTTGGGCTGGGCTGTTGGCGGGAGTGGTGGGGAGAGGCTCCTTCAGAGGGTCTGGGAAGGCAGGAATCCCTGTCTGTCTGTCTGTCACCTCTGGACAGAGTTTTCTGTGGTACTCCTGCCCCCCTCCCTTTTTTGCTGTCAGAATTTTCTCTCTTCTTTCACTTTCTCCACATCTTCTGTTTTTCTCTTGCCCTCTCTTTTTTTCCCCTTCTCTTTTCCTTCTCTCTGCCCTGGGCTTTTCAGGCCTCTCGTCTTCCCATAAGCCTGTCTCCTGGGCCCACTGGGAGCCCATGGTACCTGAGAGACTGCCCGTCTGTGGGTGTCTACCCTTCAGGGACCTGGTGCTGGTCTCCTCAGTTCTGGCTTCTTTCAGTGTCAAGTTCAAGGGTATTGTGGCTCTGGGAAGCTCCTACCTGAACCCCTTTGCCCTCCCACTGAGTTCAGGATAATAGGGAGACCAACTGAAGGCTAGCACTTAGTTGGTGTGGTTCCTACCCCTCTTCCCCAGGGCAAGCAGTGTGGTGGGTGCCTATGTTGTTGGGGG